AAATGTACTTGATCCATAACCACTTACAAAACATGTCATTCAATAAAATATTTGCTTCAGTATGCATAATTTATAATAAGAAAACATACATGCATTTGTGATAACTAAAATGATAATTTATGCATTTGTGATAACTTAAACATACATGCATTTCTGTATATATATATAGGATACCAAAGGTGTCTAATTTCATCACTACACATTTTTCTACTAACTTAAATGATAAATTATATTTTCTGGTGCAGACCCAGGTACTCTACAATATACCGATGCGAGTCTCTCTAAGTCTAGTTTCTAATGCTGCAAATAGTGGATCATTTCAAGTTTCCTACAAAAAGTTATGCTTATTTTTCTACAGGGTGTCAAAATTGTCACGTATAACCCCAAATTCGAATTTTACAATATAATTTTCACTGATCCAAACAAATCCAATCTATTTCATACCACATCCAAATCATAGTATCTTCGATGAACTTCCATAAATCCGAATCTAAGTCCATTAATAATAAATCTATCAAATACTCTACTGATTTCTAGTTTTTCTAAAGATATATATCAATTTCTTTAACCATAGGACTATACTCTGGAAAATACTAAACTAACATCATTCGAAAGAACTTAAATCGACAGATATGAAATTCAAGCCTTCACAAACAACATACTGAAATTTGATAAGGAGCGGAGTTAGTTTTTTCATTGTTAATTCGAGTTGGAAACTCAACTTTTTCTTCTCCTTTTTCTTTTTTCTCCACTCTTGTCCTTTTTGGTTTTTTTTTTCTTTTGGCCATCCACCCGTCAGCAACACTTATCCTGTTCTTTCTTTTTCTTTTCCTCACTGGCCTTAATCATTAACAAGAAATACATTTCCTTCCCCCTTATCCCAATGAATTAAATCTAGCCCAAATCTTTGTACAATATTCCTTTTTATTCCCAATTGTTTTATAAATCCAGGTCTTACTCGGATCTTTCCCAACGAACAATCTAGGTAAATCTCATTTACTAGTTGGTGAATCGTGTTTAGCAGTGTTATCCACCGTTACCTGGTGCATAGATACGAGAACCACTAATCATGTTTGCAAATTCTTGCAAAGGTTTCAAGAAAGCAAGCGGCTTAGTAATGAGCAGATTTATATACATATGGAGAATGTTACGAGAGTGGCAGTAGTTTCAGTATAGATAGGATTTTAATTTTGAAAGATTATCTTTATGCACTTGATATTAAAAGAAACTAAGTTTCAATTTCTAAGTTAAGGATGGATATAATGTTTATTTTAGTAATTCTATGGTGATTAAGTATAATAAAGGTTTTATAACTTTGGACTCAAACTTACACTAAATCAAGAAAAAACTTATTCTAGNTATAACCTTCCCTAGTTCCATTTAGGGTCACAATTGAAAGCCTCCCCCACTACAACTTGTTGCATAATCGGTTCTGCACATGCATCCTCCTTATTTATAGCCACCGAGGTGAGCGGTGGCTTTATGCCAAAACGTACCATACCTTTCACATGCACAATAAAATGTACTTGATCCATAACCACTTACAAAACATGTCATTCAATAAAATATTTGCTTCAGTATGCATAATTTATAATAAGAAAACATACATGCATTTGTGATAACTAAAATGATAATTTATGCATTTGTGATAACTTAAACATACATGCATTTCTGTATATATATATAGGATACCAAAGGTGTCTAATTTCATCACTACACATTTTTCTACTAACTTAAATGATAAATTATATTTTCTGGTGCAGACCCAGGTACTCTACAATATACCGATGCGAGTCTCTCTAAGTCTAGTTTCTAATGCTGCAAATAGTGGATCATTTCAAGTTTCCTACAAAAAGTTATGCTTATTTTTCTACAGGGTGTCAAAATTGTCACGTATAACCCCAAATTCGAATTTTACAATATAATTTTCACTGATCCAAACAAATCCAATCTATTTCATACCACATCCAAATCATAGTATCTTCGATGAACTTCCATAAATCCGAATCTAAGTCCATTAATAATAAATCTATCAAATACTCTACTGATTTCTAGTTTTTCTAAAGATATATATCAATTTCTTTAACCATAGGACTATACTCTGGAAAATACTAAACTAACATCATTCGAAAGAACTTAAATCGACAGATATGAAATTCAAGCCTTCACAAACAACATACTGAAATTTGATAAGGAGCGGAGTTAGTTTTTTCATTGTTAATTCGAGTTGGAAACTCAACTTTTTCTTCTCCTTTTTCTTTTTTCTCCACTCTTGTCCTTTTTGGTTTTTTTTTTCTTTTGGCCATCCACCCGTCAGCAACACTTATCCTGTTCTTTCTTTTTCTTTTCCTCACTGGCCTTAATCATTAACAAGAAATACATTTCCTTCCCCCTTATCCCAATGAATTAAATCTAGCCCAAATCTTTGTACAATATTCCTTTTTATTCCCAATTGTTTTATAAATCCAGGTCTTACTCGGATCTTTCCCAACGAACAATCTAGGTAAATCTCATTTACTAGTTGGTGAATCGTGTTTAGCAGTGTTATCCACCGTTACCTGGTGCATAGATACGAGAACCACTAATCATGTTTGCAAATTCTTGCAAAGGTTTCAAGAAAGCAAGCGGCTTAGTAATGAGCAGATTTATATACATATGGAGAATGTTACGAGAGTGGCAGTAGTTTCAGTATAGATAGGATTTTAATTTTGAAAGATTATCTTTATGCACTTGATATTAAAAGAAACTAAGTTTCAATTTCTAAGTTAAGGATGGATATAATGTTTATTTTAGTAATTCTATGGTGATTAAGTATAATAAAGGTTTTATAACTTTGGACTCAAACTTACACTAAATCAAGAAAAAACTTATTCTAGACCAAAATTGAGGGAGACTCAAATTTTATACCAAATTTTCAACGGTAACTTTTTACCTTATCCAAAACCAAAAGACTTCTTTTATGAATTATTCTCTACCTCTTCTTGCCTTTCTATTCTACAATTCTTTCATCGTCGACCAACACCCAACTATTCACAAATCCTTTAAAAACCTATAAATAAGTTTCATCCTTATCGTCTTCCATGCATCTTCTTGATTTCTTATATTTTTCATAACCCTAATATCACTTATCTTTCATACCATATAAACCTTAAGCCTACCTGTCAATTTTTAATTTTTAATTTTTTTTTGAGTTAAACAATGTCAGTAGTGCAATTTTAAGCTACCGATTTTCCTAAAATTTCAAGTCTTCACTACCCACAAAATTAGGAAATTTGTTATTTTATTTCTTCAATAATCTTGTTGAAAACGATCCATTTTTTGTGTTCTTCAGACTAAACTCATGCCAAAGTAAATGTTTTTTTTATCTGGATTTACAGAACAAGAAAATGAATTAGAACAATCTGAGAATTATGATATGATTTTTTTTTCTATTTCTTTTTATTCCTGTGTGGAACTGTTGTATCCGTATTCAATTTTTTTTAATGACCCATTTGTGGAGAAATATTTTCATCAAATTTTATGATTTGAATGACAAAAAAAAATGATTTTAGGGTAATAAGGGAATTTTTTAAAAGATTTAAGCAGATATTTGAGTTTACCCATTATAATGTTGTATACCAAATCAAGTTTTTTACCCAAATTTAGACTCAAATTTAAGTCATAGTTGTAAATACTCTTAAGTGAATAAAAAAATAGATTTTTGAATTAAGTAATTTTTTAATCTACAAATCCAAGATTTCACTTTCGAAACTCACCTTCATGGGTTTCATCAAACCCCCACACAAGAGTTTTAATTCAGTATTCATTGCGAGCCAAGATTTATTTAGTTTACGAATTTTGAGCCTCAAATTTTATATCAAACAATGTACATTAAACTATTTTTACAAAATTAATCTTTAAATTCCATTCAAACCCAGGTACCCCATAAACACTCAAAATGTTCATCACCACCACCTGAACAAATGCAAAACTCACTAGAAATCACCGATTGAAGTTCCAGCTGGGTTTCATTGGTGGAGGTAGATAACTATGGTGGTTTAAGATATGGATATATATTTTGTGGGTAAAAAATATAAAATCAATACTTCAATTATGCCCGTCAGCTAAAAAAAAGTTGATAAACACTGGCAGTGAAATTCCAGAGAATACAAAAAAGTTTTTTAAAGATAAACTGATTTACATGGTCAAATATTTCCTCAACAAGTGCCGGCAAAAGCATTTATTTTGCGTCGGCCTCTATTGACATTTGACAACAATGGTGGTGGACAGGAAATGGAAAAATAGAATATGCGCCTGGTCACGGGTAACTGGCATTGGTAAGGAAACCGACAATTTGATGGGATCACACGGTAAAAAAATTTAGGGTAAATTATAGGGTTAATTGGGGCTATGGTCTCCAAAGTATGTATTTTATCTTATTTTGATCCCAACGTTCTAATTGCATCAAGTTGGTCCCTCATGTATTACATGTGCACTTACCTAGTCCCCGCCATTGACGCCTTCCACAATTCTCACGGTTTATAGCCATGTGTTATCCACGTGACCACAGGTGAGAGGCTTATATGACATTTAACCCTCCTCCCATTCCTGTTAGACAAACTGATCAGGAGACTCTTCAATGTCTTCACTTGTTTTGCAACATGTTTGATTTCATTTAGGGCAAAACATGATTAGGGCAAAGCACAAAGATGATATGTTTCAAAAGAAGGAAGACTGGGAATCAATATGCGGATGAAGACATTCCCCATTATGGTATGTACTCATTCTTATAGATTAGAGTGTAAGGTTCATGGGTAAGCCTAATCTTTAAAAGTCAGTATTCAATATTATATAATTTATGTGTTTGTTCGAAACCATTTGTTTATGCATTGGAAATTCTTTGTTAATAGTTTATATGTTAGTTGCAATATTTTATAGTTGATGTGGTCCTTGAAAACCAGTTGTTTATTTTAGATTTTTTTGACAATATTTGTACAGGACTTGAGTATTCACTTTTCTCGATGGAGGTTCACCATAGTGGTGAATTTAGGGAGAAGCCAAACAAGGTTTACGTTGGAGGACAAATGGATTACATAGATGAATGTGATGTTAACTCGATGTCGCTTATTGAAATGGATGATATAACCTCTATTCTTGGATATGCTCCATACATATTATTATAGAATTCTTGGTATGGATTTGCGCAAAGGGCTAGTACATATGATTAGAAATGAATAGGTTTTGGATATGGCACATAATTTGAATCAAAATAGGGTAGCTCAGGTGTATTTTCATCATGCAGATGGTATTAAGTTAGTGGAGAATCATCAGGTTGATGGTGATGTCTCAGTTGATAAAGGGAAAAGGATATCATCAGAGTGTGATGAATCAGACAATGAATACCAACCTAACTCTAATTCTAGTAAGTATGATCTTTTTCTCTATACAGCTTCAAGGTTCAACCATTGGTTCACCATCAAATACCAAGGGCTAGGAAATGAATACCAAACTCTTGTACAGCGCCCAATGCTCGCTTCGGTAACGAAGCTGACAGCATTCGTTAAACGTCCAATGCTTCCTTGAAGAAGAAGAAGTTGGTGGTACCAGAAGTTATGGTGATGGGATCTAAAATTAAGGAATATATCAATGAAATTTGGTACCAATTTGACCACATTCTGAAATGGTGTCAACATGATTCGCAAGTGCTAGTGTCTCATGGTGTCAAAGAGACATGTGAAAGAAGCTTGAGAAGATTGGGTCAGCTACTTTCTTTTTTGGGAGGATCAGGCGAATTGGCCAATGATGCATTGGAACTCATACAGAATGCGGGTGACCTATTCGATCGTTTGTCTGACTGAAGGGGTTTCAAGCTCATTGAGAATCAGGCCGAAGAACTCATGACTAGGGACACCGAGTGGGAGTTGATGGACCACTTGTTGGCTTAGAGTAAGATGTGCAGCTTGTTACTTGTTACTTCACAGTTGCTCCAAAACGAGGTGGATCGTGGACTGATATCGATCATTGGAGCGAAAGGCGTTGGGAAGACAATTCTTGCTAGGGAAGTTTTTAATAATTAGGATGTTGTTGGCCAATTTCCGTTGTGTGGCTGGGTGAGCATACCAAGGGCTTCTCAACGCAAATTGAGGCCTAAAGCGAATATTTTACATAAGATCTCATTGAATATTTTAAGTAGTAAATTTTCTTAACTATTATTAGACGTTTAATAGAGAGTTGCAGTATGATTTATTTTCAATATTTTAGTGCTTTTGGGATTGGGTGCGATTAAATAAAAAATTGGGTGCAATTATGAAGTCAAGATTTTATAGATGAATAAATTGAATGAAATCTTAAAGAGACAACAGCAGAGTTAAAGAGAAGGAGAAAGAACCAAAACAAGACAATGATGAGAGTTTGAGGGAGAGAAAAAGTTGGAAATAGATGGTGAGAGTAGAGGAAAAAATAGTAAAAAAGAATTTGAGAGAGACTGTTACTTTTAAAGTTAAAAATCATTATTTGTAGATTTTTTTAGAAGGTTTTGTTATATTTTAAGACTTTATATATATATAGACCTGTGAAAATATTGTTACATTTTAAAACTTTCTATAAAGTTTTAGATAGATTTGTGAAATATATTGGGCCTTATATGGACATGATTCATCATCTTTGAAGGATTTTTAAGAAGTTTAGCATTTTAGAATTATCTATTATTTTATTTTCGTGTAATTATCATGCATTAGAATTTTTTTAATTCCTTAATTATTATAATTAGATTTCATCAAAAGGTAAAGTGCATATCCCCTTAACTAGGTGTAATATAATTTTTAATCAATAAAATTTTCTCATACTATCGAGTTTCACCAAAAAAAAAAAAAGAAACTTAGTCTATTTAAAAGGGTCTCAAAATATGAAGCTGATCTAATGGCCGAAAGTTAAATTAGGACTCTATGAGACTATTTTAATGTTTAGATCTGCTATGTCTCCTTCCATTCAAATGATCGAAGTATTTGTGCATCTCATAACAATTGTAGTTTCTATTTGCACCTTATTATCGAGTCTTCGTCTATGGAACCAATAAAGTGAGACAAATTAATCAACGGATGACGCATAAAGATTAAAGATAATATGTGTTACTCTATATTTTATACATTTTTTAAATTTGTCAAAAATAATGCGTGGGCCGTTACAAGAGATATTGTCATAGTAAAGATGTTCAATGTTATAACGTAGTGTCGCATAATTTTTATTTTTAGTAATTTTGGCATTTAATATATAATAAATATTAGATATGTGTTATTTCATACTCATACTATATGAGTGCAATTGTTCAATGGTAAAATCTGTAGGAATTGAAAATATGCATAGGTCATCATGGTTAAGTACATAATTTTTAGCAAACATATCCGTACATCTATTTATCTCTCTCATCTCTTACTTGAACCGCACTTTTCGGAACATAATATATTATTTTATTATTATTTTTTTGCTCTTCTTATTTGTTTTGTATGTTCTTCATTAAAATTGTCATATTAGATTATTGACTATAAGTTTATATTCATAATTTTTTGTTATCTTGTTATTGAATTATTTTATTATTTTTTATGATCCATAACTTGTTTATATATGTAACGCTCACCTATTGTTTTGTTGTGCTTTATTTTCTCTCATAATAACTTTATCGATTTTTTTAATATTAATTAGTTTTTATTGTAGATCCTTTATGAGAATGAACAATTTAATTAGTTGGTATTTTTGTATTGAAATGAGAACAAAATTGAGTTTGAGATAAATAGAAAATGTGTTTGATTTATTTTAATTTGTGAAAAAGAGATACTTATTATACTTTTTTTTTTTATTAAGGTGTTAACTTTTTTTGTTCTTTAATAAATATGTATGTGTAATGTATATTTGTGAGGTGGACTGCACTTTTAAATCTAAACTCTAAATTCTAAATTTTATTTTGACTTAATCTTTTAGAAGTTTTTTTGTTAAACTAAATTATAATGAGTTTTAATTTTTGATCTACACTAAATTATTGAACTTCAAAATTTAGGGTCTTTTTTATGTGTGGGTCTAGAGTTCATGTTTTGTCCACCCCACTCTTGAGTTGGCCATGGAGGAGTTTTTGACCCATCCCACGGAGTTTTAAAAAAAGAGCTTCAAATAATTGTAGATTTCAAAATAATTTTTAAACTCATATTTTTTTTAAAAAAAATTTAAAAATATCAAATGAACTGATATTTTTAACCTTTTTTTTTCAACACAGTGGGCCTAACAAACGTCAGTTGGACTGACGTTTCTTTAAACACGTCAGTCCAACTGACGCGTTTAACACTGCGTTGCTCCTCTCTTTTTTCGCAAAACCTTGCTCCTTACTTGCCAAAAGTCAAGAAACTTTTAATATTTAACACACCACTCCACCGATTTTATTGAAAATTAAAATTGGGCTACTTCTTTTTTTGCTCATTCTTTGCAAAAAGTCACGTGATTTGTTTATAACTCCACTTGATTTTGGTAATTATCATAAGTGACCCCTAAATTTTCTCTCGGGCTTTAATGTAGTCTGTAAAATTTTAATTCTTCTAATTTAATCTATCAATTATCAATTTTACTTTAATTAAATCTTTTCATTAATTTTCATTATCTGATCAAGTGGAGTTTAGCCCAATTTAAAATTGATAGTTGAGGAACTAAAATAAGACAAGTGAAAGTTCATGGATTAAATTGAAATTGGAGAAAAAACTTAGGACTAACTATGAAATTTACCTTAATTTTTTATAAAATATTATAAATGCATCAAATAAATATAATTTTTAATCAATTTTAATTCCTAAATATGTTTTGTTTCCTCTCTTTTTGAGAGGATGAATTTTTTTTATTTAAAAATTTAATATCATTCAATAAATAAATTTTGATAATTTAAATATATACTTATATTTTTTTAGCATATTAAACTTAAAAAAGTGAAAACGTATACATATAATTAATTTTAACTTGATCATATAATTATAAACGCATACTTAAAAAAAATTATTTTTAATGTTGATCATGTCGATATTAATATTTATTAAGCTGTGAAAAAATATAAGTTATTCAGAACGTATACATATAAAAAAAAGATGTCAACAACGTGACTGATATTCAAAACAATATAAAGGATTATCGAGTACACATAAACATGATGTGATAAAAGTGTCAGACGCATCATCGTTCAAATAATAGAAATCAGAAAAGTCAGGATTAGAAACAAGTAATGGATCCTCTAAAATTTCAATTTTGACATATTCAGGATCAAAATGTTCTATTTTAGCAAATTGAGTGCATGAAAACGATCAAGACAACGATGCATTTGATCCAATTTTAATTTAATCCATGAACTTTCACTTGTCTTATTTTAGTCCCTCAACTATCAATTTCAAATTGGGCTAATCTCCACTTGATCTGACGATGAAAATTAATGGAAAGATTTAATTGAAATAAAATTGATAATTGATGGATTAAATTAAAAGAATTAAAATTTTACGGACTATATTAAAACCCGAGAGAAAATTTAGGGATCACTTATGATAATTACCAAAATTAAGGGGAGTTATAAACAAATCACGTGACTTTTTGCAAAGAAGAAGCAAAAAAAAGAAGTAGCCCAATATTAATTTTCAATAAAGTCGGTGAAGTGATGTGTTAAATATTACAAGTTGCTTAACTTTCGGCAAAGAAGGAGCAAGGCCGTGCGAAAAAAAAAAAGAAGAGCAAAGCAGTGTTAAACACGTCAGTTGGATCGACGTGTTTAAAAAAACGTCAGTCTAACAAACGTTTATTAGGACTACTGTGTTGGAGAAAAAAAGATTAAAAACATTAATTCATTTGACTTTTAAAAAAAAACGTGAGTTTGAGAATTACATTGAAACCAATAATTATTTGAGACTTTTTTTTTAAAATCCCGTGGGATGGGTCAAAAGCTTGGCCATTGAGAGTACCCAGGGAGTTTGAATTCAACTCATTTCAGCTAGACATAGCGATGCAAGATTTTCCATTTGAAGAACTGAAAACCGTATACTCCCAACGACGATGATTAGTTGTCTCCGTGGTTTTTTGATGAAAAAAAATATCTAATAGTTTTAGATGACATTCAAACACTTGTAGCTTGGAAAAGCCGCGAAAAATCACTACCAGAAACATCAAATTATAGTAGAATCTTGATCACTACTCGCAACAGGGACCTCATCAATCATGGACCAAGTTGTTTTGTTTTTGAAAATTTGCAATTTAGCGAGGAATATAGCTAGAAGTTATTCAATGTCAGGGTTGGTTCTAGAGTCTCTATGGAGCAGCAAGAATTTTGGAGGAGTTGTGAGAAAGTGCATGTGCTTGCCTTCTTCCATTGTTACAGTGGCAGATGAATTCTCAAATAGAGCAGTTGCTGAGATAGCTGAACAGATATAGAATTACCGGTCCACGGAACCACAACAAATCCAATTTCACCGGTCCGCGGTAGCACAACAAATCCATCATGGCCTGGTGCCACAACAGGACCCAATAAACTTTGCTGATGCATTACCTCTAGATTTGCAGCAATGCTTCTTTATTTGGGATTTTTTTCCTGAAAAGTATCCAGTGTCGGTGAGAAGACTGATGGCATATTGGGTGTTTGTGTTGGCTATTTTTTCAGCCTTTGTATATTTGTGATAGATACTTGAAATAATTGTGAGTAAAAGGAGATACTCAAATTAAGAGTAAAACCCCGTATATATAGGCAAAATATAAAAATCATAGTAAGGGTAAAAATGGGAAAAGAAATCCTAATAAACCTAGGAAAGAGAAATCCTAATAAATCTAGACTATCTATACTCCAACACTCCCC